GTCGAGATGTCGGGCTGAGTTATAATGCAGAAAAGGAGGAATTTAAAGGGTTTTAGACTTCAATCCCCGGAAGGTTAGCTGAGTGTGTACGCGCGAAATTTAGGAGATACGAAACTTTCGACTTTCCCTCGCCGATTACTAAGGTATTCGAAAACGCACCACTTTCATCGCATAACTCTCCGCGTGTGCGTTGTACTCTAACAAGTACTTATTATAACTCATTAGACACAATTGGGTTGTTACCTACGAATGAATTATGGATGATGCTGCATCGGGTAATAGAAGTTGCATCGCTACAAAACGTAAAGGCTAATAGAACGGAGGTTTTGTGAGCACACACACAAACACAAATAAAGTTCTGAAACTCCTCGCATAAGTTTATTTAACTAGCACTTTGTCCAAAATTCATGAAAAGTACCAATTTTTTATTAACTACTTAGTGAAATACCAGCTTGTTTCGGAGCGGTAAAGCCGAACAAATTCATCCGAATGCCGAAGCAGTTAGCCTAATGACCTCTTGTGCGGGTCTCCGGCAAGGTGAGAGTAATCACGGCGGGGATTCCCCCGACTTAACGGCTACAACATCGATCACACCGGTTGCTTCTGGTCGGTGTAGCTCGATCCGATCGATCCCGGCGTCGAGTAAAAACGCGAGGGGAAATTACGCCGACCCTTCGACCACTTCAAAAGCTACTTTGTTTCTTTGTAAAAGGCGGAACCCGAACGGCGAGCGCCGGAGAGAGATCCGGGTCGGGATGCCTCCGGATTGACAAGAAGTTGTACGGAGAAACGGTAAAGGAAACGAATTAAATATGAACCAGATAGACCGGCGTTGAATTAGTAAACAAATCTTGTGTCTATCTTAACATCGCACCCCTCGAAACTCCATCCGGAATTCCGATGTGTATAAGTAAAGAGGATAAAGTGTGTTATCCCGCTGACTGCGCCAATTACGTTTATTTACTTATTCGAATGTATAGGGCGATTGTTTGTGTGTGAATTCCGGTAGTTTCAATAAGGTAGAAAAATAGTAGGAAAATTGGAGCGATTTTCCGGCGAATGCAAGGGTTCAGATCAGATGCTGCAAAATAATGATATGCCCCCGCGCTGCTCGCGCCCCTTTCGGTCTCCGACTGGCACCCCCTCCAGCAGGGCGCATCGTCGCAGATACGCCAGGAGGATTTCTCTCTTCTCTGGCGTGTTTTCCCAGTCCGGATTTTCCGTTTACTGCCGGTAAAACGGTGTAATTTTGCGGGAAAATTCCGACGATACGCGGCTTGTTCGACGACGAGGAGATTTTTTTCTAATGAACTTTGCCGCGTTATTTTAGCTGTACGTTTTTCGAAATTCGATATTTGTGCGATGTAAATGTATTGAACTTGCGGTTGTAGTGCTTATTTAAGACCTCTTTAGACATTCATGGTTGATTATATTGAGTTTCTGGATCATTTAGGTAAGTTACAACTCATATTTAGCATCATTAGTAATGGAGAAAAATTAAATACAATATTTATGCATAAACTTCAACAAATATCTTTATTATTATACTGCATACATTATGTTATTTAACAAAACTTCATTAAAAAACTATGTAGGTCTGAAAAATTAAAGGGTTATTTTAATTAAATAGAATATAAAATTGGATTAAAATTTACTCACATCTGGGTTCTGTGCGTAATTGCATTTCGTCAACTCCCAAATTCTTTCCACAAAATCGTCAACTGCGAAATTTATAAATTTAATTAACATTATTCGCCGTGAAAATTTCTTTAAATAATTAAAAAATTTACCCTTCTTGGAAGCCTGTTCTCCGCATTTTACGTAGGAAGCTCCGCCGTAGGCGGCGTTAGGAATGGAAGGAGGTATATAATATTTCAGTTTTTCCTTGATTATATTGAAATCCGTATCGATCTAACATAAAAATTTGTTAAAAACTTCCTATTGAAATTGCAATTTAATTTACTTACCGCTCCCGACAACATCCATAAGCAAGTAAGGTATTTCTAAAAAGAAGCATAATAAATAAAAATATTTAGATGATAATAAATAGTTGCAATATTACTTTAGCTTGTTTGTCATCATCCTTGAAAACTCCATTAATAAGTTCGGTGATTTGGTCTTCAGTAATGTCTGTTAAGATGATGCATTTCTTGTGCCATATTACAGAATCTCTGGCTAGATTTTCGCCGAAATCCTTATTGGGAAAATTTCGTTAAAAAAATAAAAATATAATTTTTAGAACATTACTTACCTTCTTAGCGAGTGCGCAGTAAGCCGATTGAAAAATCGAGCTTAAAACAATAGCTGATAATAGGATTAGTTTCATGATGAACAAACACTTCACTAGTAGAACAGATTTGTAAAAATGGTATTTGCTAAATTTCAGGTCGTTTTATAGTTAACAAAGTTAATAGAAAAAACATCTCATTGCATCAAAAAAAATCTTGAATATTCATTAAATTAACACTTATTGCGTGTCTTAGAGGTAAATTAATTAATTATAATTGTACGTTTATGAGCATTAGCATTCCTTTTTTATATAAATCAAAAATTTACATGCATGTAATTAAAATGTTTTGTTTGTAATATAGAAGTAACCCAGAAAAAGATAATCACAAATTATTATCGTTTTGACGTCCACCTATATAAAATTATTTACAAATATTTAAAAATTATGGTATACTTATGGACATTATAATATTTCGAAGACATCTATTATTATCTATTATTAAAAGAAAGTTTTTCGACTTTCATAGAAACTGAATTTGCGAATTTACCAATAATTTGTATAGAAAATAATTTATTAAGGATACACGTAGACGAAAACAAAGCAATAACTTTATTTTGATAAAAAATTAAGTGAAACACAAGGTAATTTTAATCATTACCAATATTTTTTTGTGTGTGAAAGAGACGTATTAAAATTATATGAAAAATCCTCATCAAAACATCACGAATTTCTGAAAATATATTATACTTGTATTAAAATAATTAGTAAAAAAATCGAATTAATTACCTCAGAGGAGATGAAATAGTCGCATTGTATCATCACCCATATTTTGTCCACTAATGTAACCTTTTTACCTGTAATGAATAAACAAATAAGTGCATCATTTATAATTTATTTTGAAATATAAATGTATAATTAAGGAACATTTACCTAGACTTTTCGACATTTTGTGGCAATGTTTGTACATATCAGCCACTCTATCGTCCACCACAGAAGTAACGTATTGGTCGAATTTCGCCTGATTTAACTCAAAATTCCTGTCGATCTACCATAAAAATAAAAACAATAATAATAAATACAAATATATAATCAAAAAAAAATCATACCATTCCGGATCTTAACCAAAAACAAGCCACATATTCCTACAAAAAAAAATCAATTCGAAACTCTTTCTGTCGCAAACAGTTCAATTATTTTACCTTAATTGCGGTTTCTTTTCTGAACGATCCGTTTTTAATCTCCGATATCAAGTTTTCCGCGACGCCCGAGAGGGACACGCATCGATTCCGCACGGCCAAAATTTCATCCCTCGTCTCGCTATTGTAATCCTCCAAAAAAAACACCCTTAAATCTCCAATCAAACGAATCGAAAATTTACTTACATCCACACTAATCGCGCAATAGGCGAATTGCACGAAGCACGCCAAAAACACCAGACTCAAATTTGCCATTTTGTCAATTAACACCACTCGCAGGAGAGTCTTCGATTAACAACAAGCATTCTGATAACACTTATACTAATACAGGGTGTTTCATTGGGAAAGGGCAATATTTTAACCCTATATAGAGGTCACCCAGGGGATCATAAAAACCCATATACTATGGGTCTTGCGCCCTTTATAACCGAGTTACAGGGTGTTTTTTGAATTTGGCCCATTTCTTTCGACACCTTTAACTTTTGAATCACTCAGTATATTTTTTTGATATTTGGCATAGATATTCTATACGTTTAGGACAATTTATTGCCACATTAAAAAATTACAAAATCCAGGTCCGGATTTAGAAAAATTAATAAAATTTGACCGACCCTAAAACAACACTCTATACATCATATTTTTAAAAATTGAATTTCAAATTCAGAAAAAACATAAAAAACTGAATGTATTCATCAACTTTTTATTTGCCCGCATGCCGTTTTTCTACCAAAATTTAAACGTTAAAATGTACATTATGAGATTTTTGGTCCATGTAAATTGTAATTGAAGGGATTTTTATTATTTTTTCTTTAATAAAACCAGATTTACTTAACACTTTCATGGAAATTCCTGAAATAGACCTATTAAACTTGAATTAACATTCACATAAACCAATAAAAATTACAATTACAGATCCGCACTTAATAAAATTAAAATGATTTCATTTCATTTAATAGTTAATCATTGATTATTCAATTTTTACATTTCTACATGAGAAAATTCAAAACTTAACTAAGTAATTTACTAGATTTTTTAAAAAAGATACTAGAATAAGTATTCTTTTTCACTTTTTTCATAGGGTTTTTTATGATCCCCTGGGTGACCTCTATATAGGGTTAAACTATTGCCCTTTCCCAATGAAACACCCTGTATAGAGAGACGGTGATAATGAAATTCGATTATCAAAACGGACGTTCGTTCGTTAGTAATTAGCCAATTTTACTAATCACTGCCGATTTTTTTAATTAGAAACAAATCTCACCCGGAAAGAAGTTAAAGTCCCCGTTAGATTATTTATCTTTTACTATAATACAATAATAACTCCTCTTAGGTACGATATTTAAAGCGATATTAATAGGTACTCATATAATCAAATTAAAAAACAGTGTTTATTACATTTAATTTAAAGGTTTCAGTTGGTTTTATCAAAAAGTTCATCAAACAATCACAAAATATTTTAACCTACCTATTATTGCGTTTTGAAATAAGTAAAGGTTAGTGACTAACCAATGAAAGAAATGCAGGAGATTGATTAACGTTTATTTCATTTATTTTTAATGTATATTTCATGTATTGTAACTCTTAAGTTCCGTATCTTCAAGGGAAGATGTAGTTCTGAAAAAATTCAACAAAAACGGCGTAAGTAAATTTTCGTAAATTTTTATATTTTATTTACCTCAGGATCGACGTCATGCGAACATTTCGACGACTTCCACGCCATTTCCACGAAATCTTTTTCTTCTAAAGACGGCAGGAAATAAACAAAACTCTTCATCTAACGATCATTATTTAGAGATAAAGCATGACTTACCGGTTAGGCGGATTTTTTCAGCGCAATTCGCGTAAATATGCGCCACTTTTCCTTTCAAATGAGGCGGTTCCAGCGACTTCAGTTTCTCCAAGTTGCTGTGAAGCGACGTATTGGCCTAGAGAAATTATTCATTTACATTCCTCATTTGCATCGTCCCCGTTTTTGAGCAATTAATATTAATTACGTCAAATTCGATCGATTTATGACAAAAAAAGTGTATTATAAATTACTTACGACTTGCAAATGCAACCACAAACAGGCATTGTAGCGCTGAAAACGCAAGATATGGTTAATAATCGGAATAAGTGGGCTTTTAAACCGTTTACTTTAATGTTAATACCGCCGCTGAAATCGCCCTTTCTAGTTTGCAGGATTTCTTCTTCGGTCGCTCCTGAAATAATCCTGCATTCTTGGTGGACTATGGCCGCTTCTTTCGCTAAAGCCGGTCCGTAATCCTGCGAATGGGAATACGATTAACGTTTTCCGCTAATTTATTATTTAGTAATTAGTACAGACCTTGGGGTCTACGTAGCAGTAAGATGCTACAATTAAGGCGGTCAGTGGCATGAGATATTTAGCCATTTTTATGAAGTAGCCGAATTTGAATACGCTGAAAAAAAGGAACACGGTGTTAAAAAACCTATTAAATTTAATTAGAAAATTAATGGTGTTTTAATCAAACAAAAAAAATAGGTCGTTTTAATCACGTTATTAATTGAATAAATTCAAGAGATAGACAAATATTTGAAAAAACAATAATTGTGTATATAAAGAGTGTAAAAATTTCGGGCAGTATAATAAATTAGACTTACCTGCACCAGTAAGTATCTGCTTTCAATATACTACTATATTAATTTTAAATTATCATTTACTTTATATTCGAAAAATCTCGTTGTGTTAATTATTTTTTCAATTTATTTGAACTAATTACGTCGACTTGAAGACGATAACCATTGTTTAATTATTGAACAACATAATTATTAATATTGATAATTAATGAGACGCATAAGAATGTAGGTAGGTATATTTTTCAAAATACATATACACTCTGTTATAACATATTTTGAATTTTTGGATAACAATAAATAATAATTCGGATTAAAACAATTTTATATTAAAAAAAAAACCGTAAATGCTATTAAAAAACAGTATGATTGCGTTTGATAATATAATTGTAGTGCCGCAATAATTTCATGTCATATTATGGAAACATGAAATGCTAAAACAAATTAAATTTTAAATGCAACGAGACAATTAATTAAATAAATAATTATTACCTCCGGGTCCTTATTGTAGTAACATATTTCAGCGTTTACTAATTTCTGCAGGTAATCTGGTTCGGCTGAAATTAAAATAAAATATTTTGCGTTCCGGTACAACGGATTAATTTACATTTTATTGACAACATATTTGATTATATATAGTTTGAATACAAAATTTGCCACTTACTAGATCGGTTCAATTCTTCCACACATTCCACCAAATATTTATGGAATTTTCCTTTCAGCTTAGGCGGTTCTAATGATATCAAAAAATCTGTGTTTGCATGTCCGGTACCATTCATCTTATAAACATTAATACAATTACAATTAAAAGAGTTTTTGATAAATATAACCTGTACTTACCACACCAGAATGCAACCATATACAACCAATATATCGCTAAAAAATTACAGCAAATTAATAGAAGATTATATTTAATTTCACAATTTAAAATAATTACTTTCATTTCAATACCAATGTTGAAATCACCATGTCTTACAGCGTCAATTTGCTGATCTGTAGCACCTGAAATTAGACCGCATTCAGCATGAAGATCTATCATCAGTTGTTTTAAAGCCGGAGAGATATCCTATTATGTTTAAAAATTTAAATAATTTGTTATGAAAAAGTTATTATGGAACATTACTTTCGGATCCATCACACTAAAAACTTGCCCAACCAAAACTGAAAATAGTACCAATTTATTCATAGTGAATTGGCTTGGAAGTTTCATTTTAGGTAGGTCTACATACTTTTTCGGCGGGTACTTATAGGAAGTTTACTAATTACTTGAGTACCTATGTATCTCATTATTATGTAGATATTTACATTAATGAGTACTCAAATAAAACTTAAAAACAAATAAAATAAATACTTAAAAGTAATAATTATTATTATTATTAATTTGTATACACTGTTAGAAATTTAATTTCGCATAATAGGGAAATCAATGTTAAATTCTTAGCCGGCTAAAATCCAGTTTACCAGTATACATTTCAATAGAACGTCGCGATGAATTCTAATAAATTTAATTGTTCTACTGGACCGCACGCCGCGATTTGTAGAGGTATAAAGTAATTTGTGTTAGGTATGAGGTACAACATTATTTAGAAACTACAATTAATAGATTTTTTGGGGATATTTCAAAAAAATGTGTGTATCGGTAGGTACAGTTTTGAAAGAGCAACAAATCTTGTTAAAATAAGAAAAAATAAGGAAAAAATAATTCAATTTTCTGCTAAAATTACACCTCAGCTCAGTAATATGAGATGACATCTGTATGACAGGTTTGGCTATTGTTTAGCAGAAAGCGGTGGACTATTTTTTAGAGTTCTTTTATTTTCTGTTTTAAAATAATCTTTAAGTTTATTTTTGGAGTTTCCTTTTTATTATTTTCTTAGAATTTACTTTCTTTTTCAAGCCATTGTGGCAAAAAGACATAATATCTACATAATTCTATTTTATTATTAGTGATATTTTTTCAATAAATTATCGTTTAAAAATTATCATTTCTTTTTAATCGACTCGACGTTCACCCATCCGAACCCGTTTTGATACTGTCGAAGTGTCGAAACCGTCGAAATTATTTGATTTTTAATCTAACCAAGCCAAAGCGCGGTGTGAAGTCCAGTAGAACAATTAAATTTATTAGAATTTATCACGACGTTCTATTTAAATGCACACTGGTAGACTGGATTTCAGCAGGCTAAGAATTTAACATAGATTTCCCTATTATGCGCGAAAAATTTTCCAACAGTGTATATTCTATATGCGCCAATAAAGGCAAAAATTCTGGCAAGTATAATTTAAAAAATAATCTTCATAATCTGCAAATTCAGTATTATGAATATCAGGAATATATCTATTATTTTAAATATTATATTTGTCTAGGTAGGAACATTGTGGACAAAGTTTGGGTAGCTACTTTATGCGTTTACGAAATTCAAGCTGAGGTATGAAATTACAAAAAAATAATAATAAATACAGAGTGTTAATTAATTGAGTGCCGATACTTCAGGATGTGAATATTTTGGTGGTTTTAAGACAAAAAGTTTGTATCATATGAACTTTTCTTTTTAAAATTATCCAAATATTCACAACCTGAAGTCTCGGCACTCAATTAATTAACTCCCTTTACAACAATGACTTCTTTTTTAGAATTTTATCCTTCCATAGTTTTACAAAAATGAATTTTTTAATAGTCTTATAGAACAAGGTGATAAGGTGAGAATAAATTGCTATTTGCAAGTTGTTTCTTCAATAATTAAACTATTTATAGCATAATGTGAATGTTTTTAATTAAATCCTTTATTACAGAGATTGTATTTTTATAAAACACCCAATTAGTAAACAAACTTGTTGTAATAATGACAGTAATGATATCATTGTTTGATGGGTAATTATTATTAAAAAATAAATATGCATTATGGTATACATATAACATATGGAATATAACAAACTTGTATTTATGGCAGGTAGTAATTCTAAAAAATAAATTACTTAAGTAAATTTTAATTGCATATACAGGGTGTCCCAATAGTGCGGTAAAGCCCATTTACTCAGTTATTATAATAGATACGAAAAAATGATAAATACGAAAAATGTTAAGCACCTTTAGGCGCACAATTTAAAATTATTTCGAAATATACAGGGTGGCCCATAAATCGATGCCATACCAAACATACCTTTTTTTAAAGGCAATGATATATTTTTTATTTCATATTCGATTTCAGCTCGTATTCACGAGTTTCTCAATATAAGATTTCATATGACTATACTGAGTATTTAAAAAGTTATGGCCATTTTTATGTTCAAATCGACATGATTTCAAGGCCCTGTATATCAGAATATGTATCAGATAATGTGAATTTTTCTGTATCAGCACTTTTTGAAAATGGTCTATTTTCACAAAAATTAGTTACATTCTGACAAAATTACAATTTGTATACAGGGTGAGTCAAAACGCAAACATAATAATTACTCGCTTAATTTAAATGGAACACCCTATATTAATAATATCCAATGGGAAGTCTATTTCTTACTGAATCTTTTTTCATAACATTTTCCTATAACTTTCACCGTTTCTGAGATATTTTCAGTTTTATTAAAAAATGTCCTGTTTTTGATATTATAATTCCATTTTAATCTAATTACTTAATTAATTTAATCTAATTAAAGAAATCCATTCCGGTTCTCTATCAAAAACCGTTTCCGTCGGGAATCCCCTATAAATTTCCATTCGTCGAATATAACGGCCCTATTTGGAACAATGTAATCTCTAAAACGAAACAATGCCACAGGAATATCTGACAACAATGGCGGTTCAAGTTATTAATAAACCGAACTGATAGTTTATGCTTTATAATGGGGTTTTGTGTCAAATTAGCGGCTGGAGGGTTTTTAACATAATCGTTAATCTATCCTAATGAATGACTAAAAAAATATGCAAAAAAAAGTGTAAATAATAAAAAAAATCTTGTACTGTAACCTTCGTTTTAAAACCATTAAAAATCGACTATTTTAGTGAAATATTCTAATCAAATCGTGAAATTAAAAAAAATATTGTATTCTCATGTTCACATCGCCAAGGACTAACCCGATAATAGACACCTCTGGTTACATCAATTACCGAAGTGTCTACATACATATCTGTATATCAGATTCGGGCATTTGGCGAGCCAATTACATCGGGAAAGAACGGCTCTCGGGTTCGCCTGGCCCTGTTTGATGCGCCCTCGGGGTGCCTTCATTGTTCCAGCCCTTATTAGAACCTAACCGAGCAAAGCACGTGTTTATGTTGTATAATGTACCTACTTACTTGAATTGAAAATAAGCTTGTTTGCCGAATATTCAAACACGAATATGCCTTATAATTATCCCAATCGAATTTCACCTAAAGCTTCATTATTCATTTGAAACCATTCCGAACAATTGTAGAATAATTCACAACTATCTAAAACCATTTGTTCTTGCTCGAATTGTTCTGGACAATTTTAGAATTTTAGTATACTCTCCAGGATAATTAAGAATTATCTTAGAACTGATTAGGACTATTTGAAACCATTCCGGATAATCGTAGAATAATTTAGAACTATCTAAAATCATTTAGAACAGACTCAGGACTATTCGTAACGGTCGACGATAAGTTTAAAAATTCCAGAACCATTTAGAACTGTTTATAGTTTTTAGAAGACTATTTAGAATTATTCAACTGAATTTAATGAAATATAATACTATTAAAAAGTACTTCCCCTTATTCATCAAAATATTATACCTACAATAGAGATTTAATATTGGAATTAAACAAACTTTTTCTCCAATTATGACTATTAGTTTGTACAGGTATTGGAAATGGGTCCTTGGAAACGATCGATGGGCATTATCGAAGTTAGAATCGAATTTTCCCTAAGTCCCTTATTCTACTTCGACATGAGCAACCTGTTTTACCGTGTATAATTGATAAAGAGGATTCGAGCCGCGTTTTCCAGGTCCTTCGGCTGCCCGCATGTTCTATTAAATTTAATCCTCGCGCGGCTTCATTAAAACAAGTTATAATTCCGGGCGATTGCTAATAGAATAGATTCGG